ATTAATTGGCCAGCTAAAAATATATAGAAAAATTAGCTGGGCATGGTGGCGCATGCCTGTAGTCCCAGCTACTCGGGAGGCTGAGGCAGAAGGATCACTTGAACCCAGGAGATTGAGGTTGCTGTGAGCTAGGCTGACGCCACGGCACTCACTCTAGCCTGGGCAACAAAGCGAGACTCTGTCTCAAAAAAAAATAAAATAAAATAAAATAACCAGTCTGTGTGAACAGTCCGGGGCCAGGCGTGCAGGTGGCGGGCTGGGTGTCAGGTGGAGTTGAGGCAAGCTTGGCTGCGAATGCCAGGGTGAACCAAGGCCAACTTTGTAGAAGCAGAGTGTCCAGGCCAAGAACATGAGCACTTTCACCATCCACCAGTCTAGCCTCTCGGTTCCTTAGGCAAGCATTCTGCAGACTGCAGAGTGCCGGCAAATCACCTGGGATCTTGTTAAAGCACAGAATGTGACCGGGCAGCTCTGGGGCCCAAGATCCTGCATTTCTAACAAGCTCCCCAGCGATGCCTTGCTGCTGGGCATGGGCCACCTGCCTGACTATTGAGGAGTAAGGCAGGAAAGTGAAGCTCAAGACACACTATGTAATTTCACCCAAGCCACCCATTCCTAAGAGGCAGAGACAGGATTTGAACCCAGGTGCAAATAACTCCAAAAGCCACATTCTATCCATGATAGTGCCCATGGCATGGGTTCTGACACCATGCTCTAAGAGAAGCCTGGGTCTGAAAGAAAGACCCAGGATATGATCAGCTTTGGAGCCCACCTCCCAGGAAAAGCAGTCAGAGAACAAAGATGTATGATCTAAAAAAAAAAAAAAAACAAACAAACAAACAAAAAACCACTTTGGAGACATGGCAGCTGGCTCACACCTACATGGAGGAGCCGTGCCCACCTACCTGGATGGCCCCAGTGGGGGGCACGTGGCCAGTGGGGAGACATATGGGCTCAGCCTGAGCTCCTCACTAAGGATGTTCTAAGAGTCAGAGCTGTCCCAACATAGCAGAGGCAGCCCTGGGCTGTGGAGGCCCAAGATGGGAGGCCAGTGTTCCCCAGAAACCACCTTCATGATTCGACACATCTGTGCAACACCTGTCATCTCAGTAGCCCTACCAGAAATGAGGCATCATTTGCTATGGTCATAAAAATAAATCTTACGAAGACAAAACATTACATTCCAGCAAAGGGTGCTCAGCTAGGAGGCCTACTCTCTTTTTTTCAAAAAAAAGAGAGAGATTAGCAAGTGTCAATCAAGCATTAAAGGCATATTATCAGGTAAAAGAAACATTTTCCTCAATACGTTTAGAATTAAAGTAAAATCTTAAAGATCTTCCTTTTTCTCCTTCTGAAATTCAGCTGCATCAACTAAAATCATCTTGGAAGACACTAGACCTAATGATCTCAGTGCCCTTCCAACCGTGAGCTTCCAGATGCCTGCGTCCCTTCTCTGAAGCTAAGGTCCCTCAAGCATTGCTCAGAAGCCCCAGGTCCCTCAAGCATTGCTCAGAAGGTTTCAAGCCTTCTCAGCCGTCACCGCCGGGACTCGCCGTGGATAAGCACCGGTTTGCTTCAGTCCTGGTTTGAGCAGCACCAAGAGAACTGAGGGGTGACTGAGCCGGAATGTTATCCTTCCACCAACACGGCCCAGACCGAGTCCGCTCTCCTGCAGCCCCTCCCTCATGGGTGCTCGCTGTGCCTGCCCGCCTCTCTCTAGCCAGGCGGCTTCAGCTTCGAGATCTGTCGGTGCCTTGGGATCGACTGCATGACATTTACCCAAGGAGGCAGTTTTGGATCAGTGTAAGAAACAACTTTCCTACTATTAGTAAGAATTCAAAAATAGTAGTTCAAAACCAGATTAGGATGGCCTTGTGTGACATGGCCTTCCTACCGAGGAAGTCCCCAAGCAGAGTCTGTCGGGGAGGTGATTCCAACTGCCAAAGTGCCACCAGAAGCTACCAAGCAGGGCCCCCACCCTGAAACCCGTGCTTCCCTGACACAACACCATTCCAAGTCAGTCCCAGCTGGCGCCAAAGTCCAGGCGCATTCTATTACGCCGCCCAGGCCACGGGAAGAATTGAGAAAAGCAAAAGGCCACCAGTTGATGGTAGTCTGAAGGCTAGGATAAGTGGTTTTGATTTAATACAGAAGATCAGAAAAAGGACACAACTTTTTTGATGAGAGGAGTTATTTTTTCATCTTGAGCTCATAATTAACAAATGAGAATAAAAACAGGGGGAAATACATGAAATAACAAATAAGGGGGAATAAACGAAAGGTAGGGCCCTTGGGAAGTGCAGAAGCAACCTAGAAAGCAGCTTTCTGGCAGCGTCAGCCATGTCCCCTCAAGGGACGTAAACCAGCCTCTGTCCAGAGAAGTCCAGAAACAGCCCACAAGGAGCACCGGGGACACGGACACCTGTTGCTCAAACCAGCTTTATGGAAGGTGCACTCGCAGTCCCTCAAAGGGGAAAGGTAGAAAGCTACATCACTCACATCCTACAACAGACTGCCAGGCGCGATAACCGCGTGCCACCGGGGAATTCGCCGTTTCAGGATGTTTCTCATTTGCTCACAGGGTTATCAGAAGTTACTGCGATGGATTCAACCAGCTTATCAATAATTAACTCATACGCGGAGCTTATCAAACAGCTTCTAATCCCTTTAGCTTCCGGGTAAAGGCACATACCCACAAACGCACACAGGCCTTCACAATCAGAACTTCTCCCAGAAAATGACAAAGGAAGTAGCAGCGACAGCATTCTCCACGGTCACCGCTGAGCATGGAGGTGAGGTGACACGTTTGTCACAGCTGTGAAGAGGGTCCTTGATACCATCGCTGCTACAGAGTCCACATGGTGCGAGCCACAAGACAGGCTTTGGGAGTGTGGGTGTGTCGCGCAAAGAACTCCCGTCTGCTTCCGAAAATCGGATTAAAGATCATGAAGTTCCAGCAACACCTGAGTGCTTTTTTGAAATCATGCAGAATCGCAGCCCACACGATAGAGCCCACGGCAGTGGGAAACATTTGGAAACTTTATTTAAGGCGCTATTATATATAAGGAAGGGTCTGTAGTGAGAGTTCTTAGAGCTTATGAATATTTATTATAGTGCATTCTTGAAAACAACAAAAAAATTAAGTCCAGTATAAATGGGAAACAGATTTATAAGAGTCAGTCATAGGTTTACATTATGCAAATTGTAGTTAGAGACCTATAACCAGAATATAGTTAAATGCCTAAAAGGGGGAGAGGAGTGGCTGATATTTGGACATTTTCTTAAAATGCGCAAACAATATTTTTAGAGTTTTTGACAATCTGTGCACCGAGGGGTTCCTGTGGGCACAACTTGTTACTTTCACTAACCTGATAGTGGAGTCCCAAACTTAAGGTAATATCAAAGGCCTGAGGTTATCACGGCTTCTTTGTTCATGGCAGTCAAGGTTCTGCCAGACAGAGACATGAGACACCCTGAACCTTGACCGGAAAGTTTTCATACAAATCTCAGCCACCTCCAGCCCTGAAGCAATGAGGTGGCTTTGCCAACATGCCAAACCTCCAGGACAATTAACATAGGCACACCTGTGTTTCACATGCAGCAAAAAGGGAACCATTACTGACATGCTGAATACCTCGCCCCAGAGATGTCACCTTGGGCTTTGTGATACCAATCGAGCAGGGCGTCCTCTGAGTACAAACCCCAGACAGACATGCCAGTGACAGTCAAAAGTCTGTCTCTAAGGCAGAGGGAGAGCTAAAGGAGGCCCCCTTTGCAAATGTAGTTAAATACTCATAATCCCATACCACATCATTTAAGGTTTATTATTATTTTTTATTAGGAAATAATGATCTTTATTATTTTTTTTCTTTGTTTAGAGACAGGGTCTCGCTCTGTCACTCAGGCTACAGTGCAGTGGCATGATCAAAGCTCACTGTAACCTCGAATTCCTGGCCTCAAGCAATTCTCCCACCTCAGCCTCCTGAGTAGCTGGGACTACAGATGCACATCACCACGCCCTGCTAATTTTCTTTTTTTTTTTTTTTTTTAAGAAATGAGGTCTCACTATCTTGTTCAGGCTGGTCTCCAAGCAATCCTCCCACCTCAGCCTCCCAAAGTGCTGGGATTATAGGCATGAGCCACCCCCACACCCAGCCTATTATTATTTCTTATTATAGTCATTGAAAGAAACCTGTAAAACATAGTATAATAAAGGAAAAAATTTCTAAGTAGGTTTAAATGTAAAGTGGGAGCCCCAACAGGTCAGAAATGAGTTGCTTCGCCTCCAATCACTGGTGCCCTCAGCTCAGGGGGGACTGGCGGGCTGCAACCCTTCTCTCCTCCTGACATCACACTGCCCACCGCCAAAGGCCCGCAGGCCCCGCCCAGATGCCACTGACACGGCCACGCCTCGTCTCCAGAGGACTCACTCAAGGAGCTAAAGGCCTGTCACAAATGGTGTCTCCACAATTGCAGAGGAAGAATAAGTGGGTTACAGTTTACATATACTTCACCACCAGGAAGAAAAACCCCACTCAACTGTCACCCTGCAAAAACTCCTCTACCATGTCCCCAGCTGTGGGACCTAAGACAAGTCACTTGACCACTCAGAGACCTCCTGTCCTCATCTGTATGGGAGGGATGAGAATGGTCCCTTGGCTTCACAGGGCTGCAGTGGGGACCCCACCCAGTGCATGCAACTCTGTGCATTGCTGTTAATAAAAACGGCAAGTGCTGCCCTCAAAAGCAGCTCTGAGTGCCGCCATTGTGGGCAAGAGTGTCCTTAATACAGAAATCGATATCTATGTCAATAAAGATAAATACTAAATCCCCACTATTGGATCCCTAAAAGCTGAAAATAAACCAGTTCTGCCTTGATGTTCTTCTAAGTTCAGCCTATGAGCACAACTCTCATTTTCTAGATATTTGGTTCTATCTGTTGCATACAATGAAATCAAGACCCCTGTTTTTTTTTTTTTAATCCACTGGTAACTACCAACCTGTCTTTGTGTCCTGGGGATTAACCAAAACCAGTATCTTATGCTGAGGCTCGTCACGGTACACAGTGCAAAAGCAAACAGATGAAGCTTCAAGTTTAACCTGAAAAAAGAATTCGAGAAAACCATTTTGTTCTTTCATGATAGTAAGGGCACAGGAAATCACTTAACAATTAATTAGCACAGTACGCAATAAAAGAACACTGTTGCACAGACATTCATGTGACAGGACAAAGGCAACACAAAGATGGAAACCTTACCCATTCTGATACCTACTCTGCTGACCAAATGCCCTTCAGATCTCCCTTCCTTACACTCATTACGGCAGTAGCCTTCTTCATCCTAATCCTTAAAAGCAAAAGGCCACATACCCACCTCACGCCCATGCCTGACAAATTGACCTCATTTGTCCTCCCAGGACCCTGGTGGCCATTCTATGGACACAGCCCAGGATGTGCCTGCCTCCACCCGGGATGCCACTCAGCCTGCCTGCTGCCCTGGCTCGTCCTGGCAAGCAGTCTCAAGAAATGCACATCTTTGCTGAGCCCTGTGGGCCCAGCTCCAGCTCCTGTCAGCCCCGGGGCAGAGAAGCTCAACTCCAGGTGCCTGTTTGTTATATGAGAGAAGAACCAGGGTCTCTAACGCTGGGATTGTCCCAGAGCCTTCCCTTAAGCACCTACATCCAAAGCCCTCTCAGTGGCCATCAAACCCACCATTCCCAGATTCCAAAGCAGAAGGTAAATGTGTCCTGGTGAAAAGTGTGTTTTGAAAACCAAGGAGGATATAAGAATATTAGAAAAGAATGTGTGGACTGAACTAGGCAGGCAGGTTGTTTGTAAAAGTTTACAGCAGGCCTCCACTGTTTCGGAGAACCATTTCATAACAAATCCTGAGACCTGTAAAGGACTTGGTGCCACCGGTCTTCTGTGTCACTTTAATGAGGAGGCCCCAAGCTGGCCCTCCCAAAGAGGTTATGTGAGGCACAGTCTACCCAGGAGCTGGCTGTTATAAAGCCATTAAACCCAATATTTACAAAGCATCATATTGACATGGAAAGATGCTTATGGTAGACAACATTGTACTCAGAGAGTGGTCTCACCTGTGTTTAAAAAGTATGCAAAAAATGTTCATGGTGGTTAATGGTAGATGATTCTATTTTCTCTATCCTTGGTTATAGTTCTCAAATGTTATGCAATGAGCATGTACTGTTTTGCAACCAGAAAAATCAATAAGCATTATTGTATTTTAAATGTAATAGGTTAATTTCAAGACTGGAAAAAGAGTTAATTAGTGAAAAGAAAAGACTTTTAGGAAGACCAGAGTGATATGACATGATATATCCTCAAACCACTTCCTCATCTTTCTTTTTATTTTGAAAAACTTCTCTGGTGTCAAAAAGAAAAGTTAAACGTGCTAAACGCAATGAGGAGCCCCCAGTATTCCTAATTAGAGTATTTCAGTATTCTCATGGTAGGACACCGCGCCCATTTCTTAATTAACTGCTAACATGGTAGGAAACCAAACAATTGCTTTCACAAAACTTTCTTTTTTTAGAAAGGGAAGAGGCAAAGAGGTGTAAAGTCATTTCAGCACTTCCATCATATTAAAACAACTTAATTTTAGTAACTGTCTTATTTCATTATGTTTTTGCCAATAAGACTGAAATTATTCACTCACTGAGCATACTACATATAGAAGGGGAGGTTGAAAGTAATGTAATCCATAAATATGTGTGAAATAAAAGCAGGTGGCTGAAACTGCATGTAAAGTACTTCAGGGCTAACTCTTGCATTTTGCCCCCTTCTCAGACGCCCTAGCACCCCCACACTCCACCCAATCCTGGCCCTCCCTCACGCCCCAGCTCACTAAGACCAAGCCTTAATTAACAGAGCTTGCTTTCTTTTCTGCTTTAACCGCCACTAGGGGGCGCCGAAGGCGTGTGGGGACTGCGACCTCCCTCTGCAGATAAACAGCGTGGATGTTACTCGTGGGAACTGGATTCTTGCGAGAGTGACTGCGAACTAGCATTCCCAAATCTCAAGGAAGCCACGCTATAAACTGTACAAGCCATTGTTTTCATTAACTCTGGAACAACTTCAGTACCGGGAAATAAAACCCTGTCTTCCTCAACCAACTGTGCATGCCAGATAGCAACGATTTCCGGTATGAGTAAAATCTTATAAGTATGAAACAAGAAAAGTTTGTCTCTTTCAACAGATCAGCTTCCAGTCTGAGAGGTGACTGATGTACGTACTGCTCAAGATTCACATGTTCTTTTTACTTACTGTGGGGAGGGAGAAAAGGTCTTAAAACTGACACAGATTTAATATTTCCCCTACAATCCCACCATCCTAACAAATAAATAATTTTCATTTCTCTGTTCCTTCAGTCCCTGTTCACAATGAATAGAATCTTATCAGTGCCAAAAATTACCATCTATCTGCATTCAAGTGATATGCTAAAAAAAAAGAATAAAAGCAAATCAAAAAATATAATTTATAAATAAATTATTTATAAGTAATATAAATAAAAAATCAAAAATATAAATAAAACAAAAACAAAAAAAACCCAAAATTATCATCGATATAACTCCATTGCAAATCACAAAATTGTAAAATTGAATCAAACCTAGAGACCAAAGACCAACCTTTCCAAATGAGGAAACGGAGTCCTAGCCAGACATTACACACAGTATCTCATTTAATCCTCATAACAACACTACAAAGTAGATCCTGTTATTGTCTCAGTTTTACAGGTGAGAATACCAAGACCAAGAAGGTTAAGACATCAGCCCAAGGTCACACTGCTAGTAAGTGGTAGACATGGGATTCGCACAGCCTGTCCTGCTCCCTGCCTGGCAGAACTGGACTCGCACTCAGAACTTCCGAATCCCAATCTAGGATTCCTTCAGCTTCTCAAGATGAGCTTATTCTAGTATTCACTCCAGAAATTGTTTTGTTAAAATCTATAAAACTCTTTCAACAACATTCGACTCTCCAAATTAGATTCTGCAGAGTTCTCCACTTAGGAGGATCGTGCGTACCTGCTCCCCACTGGGAAGAGAGAAAATCTCAGATGAGGTCGGAGCTCCTTCCCCGAGCGAGGCGTAGTACGCCAGAGTTGCTTCCTGATGCCCCTCGGGGTCATCTTCTAAAATATCCACTGGGTAAATGCCTGCAAGGGGGGGGGCAAGAAATGACATTAATTTTATACTCTTTCATTAAAGGAAAGTCATTTATTTCTTGAAGATTAAAAAAAAATCAAAAACAAATTGAACACTTGCTCTATAAATTATGTTCACCTGTTTTCAAAAAATGAAAAAGAAAAAAAAAAGCACAGTAGGAGGCACTAGAGGAAACAGATGACATTCCCAATGGCAGGGTTGGAACCAGCCCCAAGGACATGACAGGTGAGCTGTCTTAGATTGTTGTGGAAACTTCCTTTCATGCACCCAAACTAGCGAATGATTTCCTGAGCACTTTCAGTAGAGTCAGCACAGTAGCCGCATAGACAGGCAGAACCTTGAGCACTGAGAAGAGCTGGTGAGGACCTGAAAACTTTGCCAAAATCCAGCTTGCGCTGTTATTACCTTGCTCGCTTACCTTCGCCACGCAGGTTCATAAGGCTGTGCCGATTCTGCCCCTTTCACTGGGCTACGCTTTTGTAAGAGACCATAAGTGCCCTGGTCAGTATAAATTGTAAACTGCGTGTCCACAGGCAGATGCACTATTGTGCATGTCCATTTGCAGGTTCTTCCTAACTCTTCCTCAGCATCCCTTTCCTATCACACACTTTTGGAGGAAAATTATATCCTTGAATAACCATACACACTGATAGCATCCAATTTCAGCTTAGAATTGGTACTCGGTTGCCCCCTCTGTGGTGACCAAAGCTGCTGGCTGGCATCTGGCTGGCACGTCCCCAAGCGAGGAGGGGGCTCTACCCCTGTTCTGTGGACCCCACCTCTGCCTCTAATTCACCCCTGAGCCTCTTTTAAAGGGAGCTGTCTGCTCCTCTTCCCCCTTCGTCCTCATGCGCCTTCGGCTCCCCCCCCTCAAGACAGGGACGCATTCACATAAACACCCACTTGTGGCTCTGTGGGACATCCCCTGCCCACCCATTTCTCGTCTCTCAGAAGCGCTGTCCCTTCTGCTAGCCGTTCTTCAGGAACCTAAAGCCATGGATAGCAGCAAAAAGTTTCAAGTCTTCGGTCCACCAAATTTGCCCAGGATGCATTTCACTGCTGTTGATTAGCTCCTGCGGGGAAAGGCTCCGAGAAGCCCCGCCCCCTCTCCCTCACTCCCCTGGTGAAAATGTCACGAGCATACAGGCTGCTAAATAGCTGAGTAAATACATTCTTCCACCATTCCATTTTTTTTTTTAAATATTTGAGTGCATATAGCAGCACAATTCATAATTGCAAGGCTGTGGAAACAGCCCAAGTGCCCATGAATCCAAGAATGGATTAATAAAATGTGGTATATGTATACCATGGAGTACTATTCAGCTCTAAGAAACAACGGTGATATAGCACATCTTATCTTTCCCTGGTTAGAGCTGGAACCCATACTACTAAGTGAAGTATCCCAAGAATGGAAAAACAAGCACCACATAACTCACCAGCAAACTGGTAGTAACTGAGCAGCACCTAAGTGGACACATAGGTACTACAGTAATAGGGTATTGGGCAGGTGGGAGGGGGGTGGGTATAGACATACATAATGAGTGAGATGTGCACCATCTGGGGGATGGTCATGCTGGAAACTCAGACTTGTGGGGGGAGGGGGGAAAAGGGCATTTATTGAAACCTTAAAATTTGTACCCCCATAATAAGCCGAAAAAAAATTTAAAAAATAATAAAATAAAAATAAAAATATTTGAGTGCAATTCATACATACACACAAAATTGCTATTACAAACGCACTGATACAAATGTTTCAAATAAAAGACATGAAGAAGTGACAGGCCATTTAGTGTGGTCAGTCAATGAAGAACTTTGGGATGTGCCTAAAAGAGACCGTGCACCTCCACATAGCCAAGACGTTCTGCTGCACAAGACGCACATTTGGGGGCGGGGGGATGAGCCTGTGTTCTCTCCGCACACCCGTACTCACTCAAAGAAGCCCACGCTCCTCACCACAATGAGCCAAGAGGCCTCCAGCCCCCAGCCTGAACCTACAGCCCTTCCCCCTTCTCACCGGGCCTAGAGGGTGGGCAGCTCTGGAGCCCAGTAGATCCAAGGTGGCATCCTAGTTCCTCACTCGGGGACCACTTCAGATGTGCCTCCAAGACCACGTTGAAGCTGCACCCCCTCCCCGCCATGGTGCTGAGGTTCATCCCTGCCCTAGCCCAGGGCCTCGGCACCCCTCGCAGCCTTTGCCCTGCCTTCTCCGCCCATCCGCCCTCCACCCGCTACCCAGTAAAACAGCAGCAGTCTCGGACATTCTGCGGGCTCCGATGTCAGCAGGATGCTGAGCGTTCCACACCCGTATCTCACCACGTCCAGCCTCTCACAGATGAGGAAACTGAGGCCTCAAGAGGAGAATGTTTAGCTAGTAAGTGGCAGCCCCGCAGCATGAACCCAGGTTGGCCTGATTTCAAAATCTGTGTGAAACATTCAGATTATGCGAGTGGCCCAATCAAACCCTCCCCTCTCCCAAGCCTCGAATGCCACTCCAATCCCAGGTCCCCTCTGCTCCTGCACCCAAGTGCTTCCACGGGCCCTGCTGCCGGCACCTCCCACTTCTCCCCACTCAGCCCATCTCAAACGCAGCCAGCACCCTGGGAGCCTTCCTTGAGCCCCAAAAGGCAAGAGCAAGGACTCTGCAGGCCATTGAGCCCTGTGTTCGAATCCCAGCTTGGCCTAGTATAGGAATTAGCACACGCCTGCCACCTGTTCTTTCCTGCACGGCCCCCCCGGAACTCACAGCTCAACTCTGTCTTGCAAAGTGGTCACCCCCACCCCAACTAGACAACAATGAGAGGAGCTGGGGTATGTTGAGTCCCACACAGCTTCCGTCCTGTCCCCAGCCCACCACGAAGACCCCCTCCTGTGCCTTGGTAAATTTGGGTTGTTCAACTGAGCTCTCTGTTGAAACTGCTATTCCTTTCATCTAGTTGTGCAAGTGGCTTCCCACAGGTATGAAAAAAGATTTGGTAAATGTTCAAATAAATTAAGAAAAACAAACTGGAGAAAGTGCCACTGCCACCCTGGGGTCCCCACTCATGCCGCACGCTCCTTCCACGGAAACCAACTCTAAGAGCCACCGTCCTCAAAACACCCCCAGCAATACCAGCTACGGAGCAAATGGAGATCCGACAGCAACTTTTACTCTCTGCTGCTGGCCCTGTGTTTTGGGAAAGATGTTTGTCAGATCTGGGCATCATCGGTTCACTGCCGTGAGGCAGCATGGTTCACAGGAGAGCCCCCTGGAGAAGTGACCTCGGCCCCTTGCAAATTCCCCTCCTGCCAGGAGGACACTGTGGTCATCTGAGTTTGCAGAGAGGGGGCATCTTGCCCAGGGCCACCAGGCCAGAGGCCTGGCTGCTCTGGGGGCCCAGGGAGGCTCCTGCCTGGTGTCCGCAGGCTGCCAAGGGTTGCCTGGCATCGTTTCTGGTTGCATGTGGTCAGGAGAAATGTGATGAATGTGTTTTGCTCCTTCCACACCATGAAATCATTTCCCCTGCAGGTTATGCTGCTACGGCTGTCAGACCCCCTCAAAGAACTCAGTAGGCTGTGTCCCAGGACACCCGCTGCCCCAGGGCACTAGTGCCTGGCCACCCCAAGGGGCCATGGGGGCAGGTCCCTGGGGATCTTTAAGCCACCAGAATCAGCAGACTCAGCCCGGCTTGATGCTCCTGAGAGTGGGGGCTATGTCATGCCCACCACTGGGGACCAGGGTCCTGGGGCCACATTAACTAACCCTCCTGGACCACAGCAAACCAGAGCAGATCGTAAAGCACACAAAATAATGCGGCATCCACGCTTGGCTCCAAACGATCTGAAGCAGGGCACAGACTTCTGTGCCCCAGGAAATAGAGCCACCAAGCAAGCACCAGGGTAGCCCAGCAACCCAAGCTGGGGGACAGAGGACTGCAACTCACCAGCGATTGGGATCTGAATTAGTTCTTTCTCTTCCCTCTAAGGGAAACTTCCTGATTGGAAAAGCTGGGCAGCTTCCCTCTTACGCAGAAAATATTTGGGTTAGCTTTCTGGAAAACAAGGGGGGGCGTGAAAATAGGAGTTGCTTAAGGTAGGAGAGGGGAGGGGTGGCCCATGTCCACCAGGAAGGAAGATCCCTCCCCACAATGCAGGAGGAAGACACAACCCCCTCCCCAACCCAATAAGAAGGAAGATCCCTCCTCAATCCAAAGAAGGAGCACCCCCTCCCCAGCCCAGGAGAAATGAGGACTCTCTGCTCAATCTGAACAGGAAGAAACCCCTCTCACAACCCAGAAGGCGTACACACACACACACACACACACACACACACACACCCTGCACCGCCCTGAGAAGAAGGAAGCCCCTTTTTCCGCCCAGAGCCCCACACCCCCACAAAACCACAAGGCCAAGGCCGTGCCTTGGGAAGTAAACAAGTCCCGGGCGTTCATGCAGCGCTGGAGGCCCAGCCAGGCGGCCACACTCGCTCCGGCTCCGCTGCTGATGGGAGACAGGCTGGGGCACCCGCTTCCAGATGTGAAATGCTAACAGGCTTTAATGGCTTGAACTGAACAGGAAATATTTTTCCCAAGCCAAGAGAATATAATCTTTGCAGTACAATGTAAAATGCTTTTATGAAAAAGGCACACAGTGGAAACGATAATTCACTGCAGACTGTAAAGAAATTGAAATCTCCCAGCAAGCCCCAACGTGAAGAATTCCCTTTAAGCATATGGTGGCGTAGTCGCCTTAAAAACAAAAATAAAGGGACATCTTTGAAAGGTGGTCTGACGCATAACCTAACAGAGGAAAATAAACTATCAAACGGAAAGTAAGAGAAATAAACTCACAACACAACTACCCTTCGTTTAATTAAAACACGCGTGGCCTAACTTGTTATCTCCGAGTTCTCTCTCAGCCTTTAGCTAAAGTTCCCGAGCGCACAGGACCGCGAGCTTCCCCTGCTTCCTCAAGAAGAGACAGTACCAGGTGCCTCCTGCCATCAAGAAAGAAGAAACTGGTTTCTGCCATCAATCTGATGCATGAGAAACAGAAAAAGCCAACACACAGCAGCTTCACAGCCACTTTTGTTATCAGTCCCCTGAAACAGAGCAGGGGAGGGGGAGCCATTTCTACCCTTTAAAAGCACCAAACAACTTTTCGCAAAGCCCCACATTTCTTTCCTCCCTTTGTGAGTTGTGTCCCAGCAGCCACCGCCATTCATGTTCAAGGCCCTGGCCAGCACTTTCCAGTCCTTCCTATGTAAACAGCAATGCCAATGAATCAAGACCTTGAAAGGGATCAATGTTTTGCACTTAATCATGGATTCAGTATCACTTGCAGAATATTCTCTTCAAAGGTGACTTTACCATGAAGATTAGGAAAATTCTTTCATTTTAACGAAGTGTAATTTTTCTCATACGCAACTATTATTATGAAAAACATTAACAAAGATATTTTAAATTTTACTAGCCCTGCTCTTAGGAACTTGGACTATGCTGAAAGCCACTATCTGGCAGTAACTCCAGGCCATTGTGTCATTGGAAAAGTTGGCCGTCATCACTTGACTTTTTTTAGTGATGTGGGTTGTCATTCTTCAATTATAGTAAGAACAATTCTTGCTCAGGATAATGTGAAAAAAAGATTTTTAAGGATACAAAATTATAAAGTAGCATTCAACTTTTGTTTTTTAAAAAAATGGGTAAGAGTAGATAATGCTTATACAGAATCTTCTTTTTGTTTTTCTTTATTTTTCATACTTGTGGTCTGTTTTTTGCTTCGCATATCAATTTTCTTCTAAAAGGAATTTATCATAAAAGGAATCCTCATTAGAGAAGAAATCTGCCAACTGGGGCTAAATGACAAAATCTAGGCTCGACAGAGAGCATGAA